GGGGGGGGGGGGGGGGGGGGGGGGGGGGGGGGGGAGGATGAAAGTGAAACGGGAGTGTCGCGCATGGCATAGGCACATATCCCCAAAATTTCAGCCTTCTAGCTTTTTTGGTTCTCCAGTTGAAAGTAGGTGAAAAAAAGTGCGAACACACAGACACACAGGCAGCCTCTTCCCAACATGCGTTTTTGCAATTTACATATATGCAAAAACGCAAAAAAACTCTTTTTGTGACGGCCTATGGTGTGTGTTTGCTTATATATATATATATGTGTTTGTCTGTTCGGATATTTCAAAACCGATTGTCACGCCCCGGCCACGTGTGACTTTAGGAACATGGTGCCGACTGTCACGTACGTATGAGCTCCACGTATGGGCATGTGAAATTTTATAGCAGGAAAATTGCCAGCTTGGGAACTAGAACTGCCGGGTTATTTTTAGTGAGGTACCGCTCAGGGAATTATTCATTTTCCTTTATGAAAAATTTATGGTGATTTATGGCAATGGGTGCACAAGTTAAATGTAGAGCAATAACAATTCATACGTAGGCTTGTTTTGTTTATATATGTAGGTTATACTACCAAACATTGAGGTAGTGGGCGATATGGCGAGACGGTCTGCTGTTGGTTGTTACTGAACCACGGCAAACGAAGTTTGCTGGGCCCGACATCCAACGCTTAGTGGCATTCGCTCCGATCGAGCCGATCGACTCGAGAAAAGAGTGTCAATCTTTACTGGCAGCACATGTACAAAGGGCTTGAAAACGATGAACAAGGAAATAATCATTTTTTTGTTGTGGAGTAACACGGCCAAAGAAAAACTCCACCACAATAATCAGACACTCAAGAAAGCAAAAATTTTACGAGAATGCTGCCGTATCTTGCGTGTCACTGAAAGCGTAAAAGCGTCCAAAAATGCCCAAGACTCTCGTACGAATACGGCAAACTTGAGGGAGCAAAATTTCAAGATAACCGCTTTTCCAGATAGTGCTAAAGGCTAAGATTTTATATGACCCTGCAGCGCAGCATCACAGTCCCAGACGACGTCCCTTTCCCTCTACATTCAGGAAATGATTCCAGTATGAGTAGGCATGTTCAAATATAAGACAATAACCATTCATGCTGTTAAGGGTCTGATTTCGTCAAAATCAAAACAAAAACCCATGATCACACCGGAAACCCTTCAGCGCCCTTATACCTGGTTCGCAATTGTATACAAAAGAGAATCGAAAATCGGGAATTATCTTTCCGGGTAATTGCAGGTTCATACATCTTGATTTTCCGGAAAAATTATTTCAGATTTGCTACTTTAATCTGGTTGCTGCTATCAATTCTTTAGCTCTGATACAGTGTTAAATCCAGTGTCATTATGCTTGCCCGCACCATGTCTATCAATGTGCCTTTTTCATCTTCCGTGCTTGTCCAGATTTTGCGTTCAAATTACCATCGCGTTCGCTATGTGTGAATTCTTGCTTTGTATAAAATCCTAATCTTATTGTCACGCCAGCTGTATTAGAGACTTGGATCTGCATGATTTGGGAGATCTCATTAAAGCCACACGGAAAAACTAGACCGACACTGGACGAAGTTGGAAGCAAATAATTACTTTTTACTGACGATAAATCCGATTTCGTTAACACTTTCATCTCTTACTAACCACGTCCAAAAGAGCACTGCAACCAATCCCCAGGTTGCACGAACTCCGCCTTTCAGCGCATTTGCAATTCGCCCAAGATACCACTCATTTTGCCAAATTCTGGAGGACTGTAATAAGATTACCAGCAGCTACCGGCAGTCTAAAGCAAACACAGTGAGGTAGAAAATGTCTAGCGGTCGCTTCAAAATGTTCTGGACTCAGCTGTTCCTCCTGAAAATCTACAGACAAAAATTTTGGGAATAAAATTTACCTGATATCATAAAAGCCCCTACCTTTCACAAGGTTTCTTTGCCTATTTGCGCAAGTGTGTGATTTTCAAGTCTGCGTCGTGCGCTGACCTGAATGGTGATAGTTTGTGTCGCTTAACCCCAGCCAAGACAGAGTATATACTTTCTTGGTCTGCTAAAATAAAAGGCGAAGCTACGTGAAACTTAGACACTGCTAAGACTGTCGCCATTCACAAACAGTAGCGACTGGATGGATAAAATTTACAAAAGGCTGAAATACGACTTGGAGTGTACTGTTATTCACAAGGTTCTTCTGGTAGTCTACCATGAAAACTCGGTCATTTCGCGTTACCAACTGACATGTGCGCGTCACCACCGCAATGTTCTAGTAAAGGAAGAGCGTCATTCCTCCAAATTTGTGCATTTACGTTTCAGAACAATTTGCTAAATGAATGACACGGTATTACTGTTTCCTGATAAATATTTACACTGCAGGTGTTTCGCAGAGTGGGGATATGCTGCCACTGGGATCATCGCGACTTTTGCGACCAGTTTGCAATATGAGCACAAGTTCAAGCTTTAGTGACCGCTTACGAGTCACTAGAATCGTTCCAGCCTGCTCACTGCACCAAAATCAGGGCTTACGTGAGCCGCATGCTCAGGCTTCACAAGCTTTGCCATCTCAGATTGATATAACGCAACCTGCTGTCTTCATGAATCGTTATCATCAGGGTCAGCACACAGAAGTAGCGCTTGGGCTTGAAGCTGATGAAGAAGGCGCCATCGAATCGGTTGGCAATGTTTCGCGCATTTTTATTTATCTTTGTATGGTTCAAAAACACATTTGAGTACGAATAATACTCCGTGCGTATATGCGCTACTCGACAAGTTTGTCTAATTTATTTGAACATTTCAGCATTAGAGCTAATGAGAGATCGAAGTTCAGAAGACTTGATTTTCCAGTATTTTCTCAGTGAAATTGTTGAAGCCAGCTTCCACGCCATTGTACATTTTGGCCTACGGCTTCAGGTCCAAACTGGGACAAATTTTGTATATTGACAGGGTGGGCCAAAGTATTAAAAGCCTAAAATTCCCTTTAATTTACGATGCGAAGTGAATTACGGTTCGTTATCACTTTTTAAATCTCGTCATGTTTAAATTCGAGAATTTAAGTTTAAATGAAGCTGGGGTTCCAAATCCATAATGGAGCAAAGATAAACTCGAAGGTGCTTTGCATGAACTGACGGGTCGAAAAATCGCTGTACCTGACTTCAGCCACTTTATACATGCAGTAGTCTATTGGCCCAAGGCATCTTGTCAAGAACTGCAGATCGCGCAGCAGTTTATCATTCCGGCTAACAAACTTATGCGATCAGGTGTCTGAACACTTGAAAAAATAATAAAAATACTGATCAGGAAAATTGACTGTTTTTAGTCAACTGTTGTTAGCTGCTCTTTGCTTTGGAAGCCCTGCGACATCGAAGTCTTCAGCGACGCCACAACAGGAGCAACAGCATCAAACAGTAACAGCAGCAGCAAGACAATTTTTTCTTCCAAATATCCCCCACACTACTCTCTAAGCACAGTTTTGCTGCAGCCCCGTTCGAAATTTCGATTATTTTTATTCCTCTTATATATAGTTTATTTTGTAGCATTTTTTAAGTGAAAGACATGTGCTTTCAATACGTTTTTTAGGCGAAAAATACATGTTAAAGTGAGCGCCCATCAGATTAGTTTTTGAAAAGGTTATTCCTCGAAAACATTTCAGATTTATAAGCGAAACGTAATCTTCTGTTACTGTGCCCCTGTCTGCCTTTGCTGTTAATGTCCGATGTCCTTGAAGATTCCATTCGATGTCCTTGTGGTACCACTCCTGTTACGACTGATGGCTGCTACGAACGAAACGTGAAAAAATTGCTACCAGGTCACACATCTTCAGCGCTGACAGTGGAGGGTGCTAGGGTAGCATAAAGTAGCATCATTTTTCGTCCGAAATTTCAGTCGTAGAAACTAGCTACACTGCAGCTAGTTTTCGGATGTGATTCTCTCGTACTAGCATTCTAGCTTTACCTGTAAGCAAGCCTATGCTCCTTTCTATTTTTCTGCAAATTCTCTGCGAGATAAATGAGAAAGCACCGCAAAAAATATAGCGAAATAATGAGCGCTGACAAATGAACAGCTGGAGTGCCTAAACTTTGATGGTTGTGGTTCATGCCCACCAAATATGTTTGTTAAATTAGCAGGGACACTTAACATCCCTAAAGTTCCTAGAATACGAATTTTGGGCTTCTCGCCTAATCAACGGAAATGACGTGTGAGAAAATTTCTCGCTGAATTTGCCGCAGCAAGCGACTACTTAAAGCAAGCGCCTATTTCACTTTCCTTTCAAGTATTTGACAAAGTAAATATTACCTAAGTCTTGCGGAATTTTCGGCAAATTGTTCTCCGAAAAATTGAGAATTTCTTGCATGTTTCTTTCACAAATTGGCAACAAATGTCTATGCATCAAAGCTTCCCAAAGGCCAAAGATTGCCTGCGCAATGCGAAAGACTACCTATCTCATTTACTACTAATGTAAGAGCTCACCTGGGGGAAAACGTTTCATAGCGAAAAAGGCCTAAATTTCAAAAAACAATTTTCAGCTGGAACTCCCAAGATTATGAATACTGTCGTACCAAATCTGACGATGTCTTATCCTCATTGTCACTCCAAGCCAAAAAGGTCTTAAAAGTTATTAAAAACCGCACTGGTGAAATCAAATCGCAGTTCCCAGTCTTCTGTCATTTATTTTCACAAAACTGGACGATATTTGTTTCAAACTGGAGTGATATTCCTGAGGCGATTCATAATTTTGGAAAAGCCCGTAAGCAATACACTTCTAAAACTGCTTGTGGATTCAAGTGCAAAAAAACTTAGTCGCCTTACAAATGAAATGGGCTTTTTTGCCCCAGTTGTCTTTATTCTGCAGGACGAAAGACTGCGCCCAGTGAAAGTTTCCAGGAAGCAGTAATTTTTGTCGATCCAAGAAATTAAGTTTCTGTACGAAAATAAGTCTATCCAAGAAATTAAGTTTCTGTACGAAAATAAGTCCTTGCATACGTGCAAAAATCATTTCGTACTTATCCTCCAGCACTTCTCGCTGAATCGAAGTCACTTCCTACCCGGGTATTGTTAGGTCTGATCGTTGTTGTTAAACGAATTTTATATTCGAAATGCTGATTTAAAATTTCATTCATTCAAATTTAAGAACAGCATTGCCGTATGCGTGTTACAATTTTCAAAGCAAACTGGCTCTGCATCAGGCTCGCCTATGTGATCATGCATTTTTGCATGATTCCATCCTGCAGAAGGTCGCCCATGCTGGGGGTGTGAGTGCGATATTGCAATTTTAATACTTAGTGCTCCTACAAGCCTACGTAGGAGTTCATCTTAAGCTTTTTGGCCTGCATATGAATATTTCAAACATCCTCAGAAAAACATTGCTTCCTGCTCAGTCTGGTTACTGAGTTAATTGGGTGCTACCAGCGTCCCAAATTAAAACACGCAGACTAGGCCTAGATTGGCTTTAAGAGTGAATTTTAAATATTTGAGTTGCACACTAGCATAAAATATCTTCGTAAAATTTTAATTTTCTAGCTATTAATTGGCAAAATCACTTTTCGTTACAAACGTTTTTGACGTGTCTAAATGCGCTATATATTCGTGCCAACATTTATTTTACAGCTACTTGCTCTCGTATGAGTAAAAAATATTCTCGTGAAGGTAAAGTACTTAACTCAGTCTAATTTCCAAGTTGGCGTTTCACCAACAGTGTCTGGATTTCAACTCTGTCATGTTTGCTCGTGTGACTGGGCGTGCGTGATAGCTGAATTTGAATTCTCACAAATCGGTAGAGATTATACATGTCAATTTTCAGCATCCTACCCTTTCTGGTTCCCGGAATCGTTATCTCGCCAAAAAATTTGGATTTTTTTTCCAGGGTTCTGTGCGTGAGACCTAAGCGTGAGCGAACCTTGATTGTAGCTTGTGAAATTCCATCTTCCTAGCTTCTGTGGTTGATAAGTTGAATGTGGGGGGCAAAAACCCGATCATACACACATACACATAACACTTTCACATCTACAACTTGCCAATATGTGTCTTGCATTTGCATAAAGATGCAAAAAAAAATATAATGATTGTCTATCGCCTTCGTTAAAAAGATCGTTTTACCATTCTTGTGCTCACTACCACAATACTAGAGGAGTACTTTCGGAATGCACTAATTGACTATGAAAAGGGAGGCTGTGGTTTTAAAAAGTTTTTGGTAGTTGTCTTAATAGTACAACGCAATAATAACAAAAAATTGGGAAATACGAAGACAGTAAAGCAGTAGTTAAAAATAAACCCAGGCTGGAAGGCATCAGGCTGGCCGGTGCGATCATGCGTTTTTGCACTTTTCATGCCCGAGCAAGATCGCAAGGAATTGCAGTAGCTAGCCCAGTGACATACTGGCCCTCAAAGTTCAGGAAATTAATTGTGCAACTATGGGGTATGTCAGTTGCAGATTTTGACTTCAATGACCCGGCGAATGGAAAGTTGTTGGTCCGCGAAAAAGGCTGCACTAGAGGAGTTAAATTTGAAATCTTTAGTCGCACACGAGTAGGGGACATTCCTTTAAAATTAAATCCTCCTAGATTTTCTCATTCTGGAATTAGCAGCTTTCCCATCGAAATTTTCACGTGTCCGTACGTGAGTATCGGACGGTTCTAAGGAGCTGGATCTGAAATCTTTTGGTCGTGCATGAATGGGGAGCAGCCCCCTAAAGTTTCAGCTTCCTAGTTTTTCTCGCTCCTAAGTTAGCTATTTTCCAGCCGAAATTCCCATGCGCTCGTACGTGGGCCATGGACGTTGCTAAGCACCTGATTTTGGTCGTACATGAATAGAGAACATTCCCCTAAAGTTTCAACTTCCTGGGTTTTCTCGTTTCCGAGTTAGTGATTTTTCCAACAAAATTTCCGCTTGCTCGTATGTGGGCCCTGGACGCTTCTAAACACCTGATTTTGGTCGTACATGAGTAGGGGACATTTCTCTAAAGTTTCAGCTTTCTAGCTTTTCTCGTTCCCGGGCTAACAATTTTTCCCGCCAAAATTTTTACATGCTTGTACGTAAGTTCCGGGCAGTCCTAGGCAGCTGAATTTGAAATCTTTTAGTCATGCATGGGCAGGAAACATTACTCCAAAGTTTCAGCTTTCTAGCTTTTCTCGTTGCCCAGTTAGCAATTTTTTCGCCAAACTTTCACGTGCTCATAGGCAGGGCCTAGGTGTGTACGAGGGTTGACACCACGGTCCTGGGGTGACACTTGGTCCGGCAAAACATCGACAAAATTTCAGCTTCAAAGCTTGCATGGTTGGCGAGTTGAAATACCCCGACAGACAAACACATATACACACGAACACACACACACACACACACATACACACACACTGACAGAGTCGTCGCAATATGCGTTTTTGCTGCCTGCTGCGCGCTAGCACGGCGAAAACGCACAAAAATAGTC